AATTTTAGCTTGGACTTATAAGAGTCGTTATATCAAGTAGCAACAGTTTCCTTTTATCAGTACTTGTATATCAGCTTTATTGTTTTTCAAAATGCAGTATCTAATGATAGCTAGTTAATTTTCTTTTTAATATTGTAGTATGCTAAGGGCAATTATTTACGACAAAATAGATTTCTTTAAAAGTTTTTAGTACAAACAAATATAGCTATTATAAAAATGTTATGAGCGCAAAATATGAAGTTAAAAGTTTTCCATGAAGCTAATTATATAGTTTTAACAGTAAATAAATATGATCTTATTAGTTACAAATAAATTTCGCGTACTGTTTATTGAATAATACCAAATAAAATATTATATATTTATTTTAATGCAGTGTAGTTATTAGAGGACTAAAGCGAAAAAAAGTATGAATAGAAAATAAGCATTTATCTTCTGAACCTACAATATTTCTTGTAACTAACCGTTCATATTTACATCAGTTTATGACTTCAGCCTTCTTAGATTTTAGTACTATGTATTATAAGTTTTTATTTTTATTTTTTATTAATGGGGAGCATTAAAAATTTATAACCCCAGTACTTATATTAGTATATTTTGTATATATTACTACAGAATGTATCATACCAGTAATACCTATTGCAACAATTAAGCACCACTGTTGTTCTTAATAAATTGGCAATATTTTCTTCTCACCACTAGGAGCAAAATAGTACCTACATTTCTTATACCCCTTTTTTCATTCACTAAATGTAATGGATCATAACACATGATTTAACTACTAATAAATATTCTGTTTTATTTGTTCTTATTCTAACTAATTGACAGCATATTTCGTTTACAGTTTTTGCCTCTTCCACCTGGTCCACTTCCTAAACCAGCTCCTAAAATGAAAAGTGGGCCCATTAAATTGACTAAAGTATGTAATCTTTCTGAGATTTTTTTCTCACTTTAATTATTTTTTAATTATCTATGTTGTACAGTGATAAAAATTTTTTGCATACATTTTAAATACTCAGTTGATAGAGTAGACTCTTGTTTCTAATTTTGCAGTCAATATCATTGTGGGATTACATCTCTACGAATACTGAATCGATATTTTCCCCCACTCCTCTTTCATTTGAACAGCTTTATCATGTAAGTGATGATACACTTTTTAATACTTAAATATAGTTGTTTTATATTAATTAAAAACTTATGTAGCTATATTTTGACTTCCAAGAACGCTTGTAAACACTCAAACTTATCTTTACTTAATTGAAAAATCAATTTATTTTAAAATTTAGAAATGTTTTTCAGTGATAAATTTTAAAAAGTGTTAACTAAAAAAAAAGAGAAAAAAATATTTGCTTATGAAATTTTTTTATTTATATTGTAAAAATATAAAATTTTATTTCATGAAAACTTTTATGAAATAAGCCTTTTTTTTTATTTGCAATACAATAATGTCTTTATTTTAATAACTATTACTACTTTATTTTAAGACTTTGCTCATAATAGCATGTTTTTTAGTTTTAAATAGCAAAATTTGTAAAAAAAAAAGTCAAATTTTTGTGATTGAAGCTGAATTTCTGCAAATAAAATGTTTCTTTATAATATTGTCTTTTTTATATAGATATGTGATTTTTATATATTCTGATTATGAAATCAATACATTTTTCCTTTTTTTTTTTGAAGCTTAATTATAGGGTAGTATAACCCGTTTAACTCTTTAACACAGAATTTTTTTTAAATGCATTTTTCATACTTTTTTCATTATTTTGTATTAATTTGCATCAAAATAAGTGGATATTTGTTATCAAAATTTTGTTTTTTTATGAATAATGTATTCACACTCGTTAGCAACAATCTTTCAATGCCAGATCGAAAATTAATCAAAATGGATCGAAAAAAATTCATTGGTTTTTTAAGACTTACGAATATTTATTATGCCAAAACCGAATTACTTTCTGGTCCCCCTAATATTATCTTTTAGCGATTATTTTCACAGTCTCTAGTGTATTGGGAATTTGAAAGGGCATTTTTTAAGCTATCGAATAATTAACGAAATCAAGGCGAAAGTTAGTGAGGTTTGACTATATATAATATTCATTATTAAAATATATAATATTTATCATAAAATTATTTTATATTTATATTTTTCTGTTGTTAAATATTGGTTGTTTTCCAAAATTTTTAGCCCTATGGATTTGTGGTGTATCGAACGACTGTAACATTCAATACAGCTGATCCATCTATTCTTACGGTAAATAACATTGCTGATAGAGGTCATGTCTATGTAGATAAAGTAAGT